GTTATCTGGGATGTTTTCTGGACAAACTGTAGCGTAACTGGTACCTTGCCATGCAACTGCACATCAGTGTTCTTGACCCCAGTCACAGGTAATGACTTCTAGTTCAGTGTATTTAAAAATACACTTTTTTAAAAAAACAAAAACAAAAACAAAACCCAAAACTACCAGGGTTTTCCTAGTACTCATTTTCCTAGGTTCCACTTCACTGTCTCACAGTTCTTTAGGATCCCTCAAGATGCTAGCCCATCACAGACCATCTGGGAAAGATAATCATAAGCCAAGATTTTTACTGGTCCACACATTTTAGTAAACCCAACTGTATCCTGTTTTATGGCACAGACTGTGGGCTATTTGTCTTCTTTGCCCTCAGTGCTTATCACAAGGTTCAGCTGGCACACACTAGATTTCAGTAAGTATTTGTTAGATGGTTGGATGAATGGATGAACCCGGTGGCTTGCTAGTAAACGTTTAACCAGCAGCTCTCCAGAAGAAACCGGAAGCTCTAATTTCTATCATTTGCTGATCTCCTTGGTGTAACTACTCCCACATGGCTGATTTCAAGTTACCAACGTGGCATCGCTGCACATGGAGTTGGGAAGAGCTGGGATTGCTGACAGTCTGCCCTTCATGAGGCAGTGGGAGCCGGCTCCAGCACACCGCTGGACGGAACTGAGCTGAACAGTGTGAGATGTCACCTTCCCACACTTCCTGATGGCAATCTTGTACACTTACAAATTAAAACCAGCCTCAGGTTACTGCCTAGTTCCTTCCACATGTATTACAGGTGTTACACTGGTCAAAGAAAAAACCCACACACTTTTGCCCACTTCTTAGAAGTGGGTTTTACTAATACTCAGGACATTTGTCACATTCCTCTCAGTACTGTTAGTTCCCATACAACAACGTGGAGGCTAGATTAAATAACGTAACTCCATATGAAAGGAGTGTGGAGCCATGTTATTTTCTGCATCTTTCAATATTTCATTATAATGGAGTTTCTACTTTGAAAATCATGGGTCAACCTAAATATATACATGCAAACTGTATAAAATTATTAAAAGCGAAGATGAATGACTGACAAAAACAATACTCAATGGCATTTAATTATTTCTCTGGTAACCTCACTAGTTTTCTTTATGAGTAAACATAAATAAAAGCCTTTCATCTCTACAAAATGAAGGATAAGGTAGCTTGCCACGTAGTTCATCTTTAGAGTAGTGCCAAGAGAGGAATAAGTAAGTTAGAACCTCCCTGAACCTAACTACTGTCTAGGAGTAAAAATAAACAAGTTTTAAAACAGCTAGGAACACTTTTCAGCCAAACAAGAACAATATTAACATAATACTTTAGTAAATATTGACCTAAAGCTTTACTTTAAATCACACAGTGCTTTTCACTGCTACCTCTGCCCCAGTGATGCTGAATTTCTTATGATATGACAACAGCAGAGAACAGATACCACAGCCTCTCTCTGAAGTTCTTTGAACAGAAGTCAAAACAGAGAAATAGAAATGTTAAGAATAAATCCATAAGATCCATAACAGATGCTAACTTTTCCATTTCAGAAGTCGATCCACTATTCCATCTGCCTCTCTGACCAAGAACCTTTTGAAAGAAAAGTAACTTCTATATGCGATGCTAAAAAGACTGCTTGGCAGCAGAATCAAAGAACCTACAAAACTGGAAACAAACAGCTAATGAAAGATATGAGGTCAGGCTAAGAACAAAGTAGGAAAACTTCGAATGTTAGAAAGAATTGATAGAAAAAAGATGACTTGGTTTTTCCATGGATTACATAGTATATTATTGGTAAAGATGTCCCATATTGTTGCTGCCTTTGAAACTAAAATTAGTTCTTTCCACCTCTTGTTACAAAGAACATAGGAGAGACATGGAAAAGCTTCACGTGTAAAGGAGTATGCTAAAACTCTGCTTTACCATAAGGATAATTTACGACCACTAATCCATCTTAAAACAATTAAGAGAAAGATATGAATACTATTCACATGTATTGTACAGAAAATAAACTTACGAGTTACTGAGAAGATAGGAATCATAAGGGATGTAGGATGAATTAAATAAATTATAGAAACTCATTTTTCCTTTTGGAGTGTCATTCCACATACAGTGTTGCCAAAAAGGATAATCAACCTAGATTATCAGCTCATTCCAGGACAATAATGAACTGACCAAGTGATGGAATAGCTAAGTCATATACCCATGTATTACAGTCACATTTTCCCTAAATCTAGACATTCTTTCAATGACATAACATATGAAGGCTAAAGTGCTAATTATCAGTTATATGCTACCTAACTACATTTTTTTCCTCAAGAAATACAAAAGGAGAGTATAATTTGAGTAAGAAAATGATACTAGAAAACTGGGAGGAAAAGAAGAAAGGACTCTGATGTCCTTAAACACCCCTTACACGGGATACCCCAAATGAAGGCAAAGTGAAGAGGATTAAATCGGGATCTCCGCACCCTCACAGAGGAAAGAAAGCAAGCAAGAATAATAGAGCAATCTGAAATTACTCAGCTTCTTTTAAAACAAGTAGAAAAGAATGATGTTTCAAATTATTAAAAACTGAATTCTTGAATGCTGTCCTTTACAAGAGATAGATAATCAAATCTGAGCTGAAAAAGAAGGACAAGCTTATGAGAGAGTATCTCTTCTGTCTTAAGAAGTCATTTTCAACTTGAAAACAAAACAAAACAAAACAACACAGCGCTCTTTTAAGAGCTTAAACCGAAGTGTCTGTGCTGATTAGCTTAGCTGGCGAGTTCGCAGTGCTGAGGACAGGGTTTTGATCTCGGTATGCTCAGTTGTCCCGCCAGGGGTTGCTCTTCCAACCCAAGCCAGCCATATGACAGCTGTAAGCCACTGGCCCAAGGGAACACGAGCTAGGCAGTGGTCATCAGCGCAAACCTTGAAGGTCACTGAAAAAACTGTGTGTCCTACTGAACATGAACACACTGAAAACCATACAGTAAATACGTTTCATTTTTCTTAGAAGTCATTTTCAACTATTAATACCTATGAAGTTCAAAAAATTATTTTCAGAGTAAAATAATTCAGTGACTATAATGCTAACATTCACTGCGATCCATCACGTGTTCTTCACTTTGTTCACGTGTCACCTTATCAGAGAATTTCTTGCCACTCTCTTGTCTCCTTAACCCTCTTATTTTGTTCCTGTCTGAGAGCAAGGACTTAGCCTGGTGTAGGTTCCTGGTGTATCTCCAGGGTCTGGCATACAATTAACTGCTGAATAAATTATCTGAATTCTGTCTCATATTAAGGGAGTTTAATCCATGCTTATCTTTAATAGGACATAAAAAATAGTAGATCATTTATAAGCCAAGAATATATGCTAATAGTGAACCAGAACGTGTCTGTTATCCGTAGGCAGCACTCTAAATACCAAAAGAAGTGCCAGACTTTTGACATGGCTTTTCCCATTTTGGAAGGTATTCAGTATCTTTACCATTCTTCTCTATGGGACCGTTCAATGTGTGGACAAACATTTAGACACTGGACATAGGGCAGTGGGACAGCCAGTTCAATGTCACTAATACTACTAAAATTATCAAAACCAATAAGCCTTCCTCGATCAGACTATCAGAAAGAAACATCTGGGAAAAGAAATGGAACAACTATTTATAAATTAAGGCTTTAAAGATGCTACCGTTTATTTTTCAATACCAATAATTTAACACAGAAATAAACTAGACTTTGAAGCATAATGTAGAGACAGTACCCATTCCCTCTTCCCAGTTTCTACATTTGCTGGACTTAAAAACTGCTGAATTAGATTATCTGGAGAGTAACACACAACACACCAGGGAGACTACAAGTAAAGGGAAGGTCATGGATATCCAACACAATCACCTGAAGAAGTCCTGAAGGGCAACCCATCAGCCCAGTGCACTACAGTACTATTCTCTCTCCTTTAGTGTATTTGTATTTATTTGAGGCCCTTGCAACAGAAAATCTGTCTATCCACAATCATACTGCAGATCAGTGGCAGGGCCAGATCTGCAACCAAGGTCTTTGGACTCATAGCTTTTCCTACCCTATTTTGCAGTCATTGTTCTCAGAAAGAAATCTGAAGCAGCAGCTACTTTTAATTATGTCCTGAACCAAACTTTGCCAACCCCAGTGTGAAATGACAAGAACACTGGACGAGAAATCAGGGAACCTAGGATTTGATCCTGGTTCAATAATCATAATTTTAGCTGAATTCATGTTGTTAATTTATTTAATACGCTATTTTAAGTGAACTTAAATTTTGGAAAATTTAAATAACTTTAGCCTTGCCCTAAGAAATATTTATGAACTTACATGTTCAATACAATATTGATTTTTCTAATTTACATAAGAATACACAAATGACAACATGTACCAACTCACTTGCCATAAAAAAATGATTTTAAAGCTCTTCATAGCTCTAAAATTCTAATACGAGAATTACATCTCCCAGTTTTGATAGCCAAAGAACTAGGATTTAAAATTAAAATCTCATCAATTTAACAAGCAAAGTACTAAGCACTCCCTACCATTCCCCACAAAGCTGGCTATTTCCCTAACAGAAAGATTCCTTTACTCTTACTTTAAGGTTCTCTTTTTAGAAACAAAATTATTTGGGATTACTGAATTAAAAAGTGGAGTTAATAAAAACTGAGAGAAACAACACAAAGCACTAAATAAAAGGAATATATATGTTTCTTACTCTCATGAAGACACAACAATCAAAATGGATTTGCTTCTGCCGATTCTAACCAAAACAGTCAACCCTTTTTCCCCAACGCCTCCCCTTCCCAACCCTTTAATTTCTGTTCTCCTTGGTCTGCAAAATCTCTTTAAGGGGACTCTAGAGCCTCTCCGTGAGAACTGAGTTACGTCTAAGACACATGACACAAGTACACAGATGTGTCACCACCTGGTGACTACTATTTTAGTCAAAATAATTTCATTTCTGTCACTGTTTCTAATACCTGAACCAGCCAGATGCCATCTTTTGTGTCTTCCACAAGCTCATAGAAGTGCATTTCACCACTGAAATTGGTACTGGAGACAGATTCCGATGCTTCTTCTTCTTTGAGTGCAGAATAGAGCTCACCTTCCATCAGGTCACCTGAAGAAAAGAAAAAAATAACACGAGTAAGATTTCAAAAATCTCACATCCCCAACTTCAATGATTTGTATGCTGTTAAAAAATTATGTCATTGTACTTTCACTGCACTCCACAGAGCAGAAGAGCAGAACCTGAATACACTTATTTAAGATTCATACATTTAGTGAATATGTAAGAACCTATTATGAGGCAGGCAAAAATGAAGAAAACAGACAAAAATCCATCTCCTCACAGAGCTTATGTTCTAGTGGGGTCATCACATAATTTATCAGGAAATTACTAAATTTATGCCAGCCCCAAAAGCCATCATAATATTATTTAGTTCTGTGCAGGCATCAAATAATTTTTAAACAATATGAGTTATATACTTCTGACTTACAAGATTTAGAAATGGGTTTACACAATTTGCCATCTCCACCTGTTTAAAACAGCAAGAGGGTTTATATGACTTGGAGATTAGACACAAAAGATTACCTATGAGAACAAACTCCATACTCACACACAAATTTATACTGTAAATTTACAGCTTGTATCATCAAATGAAAGAAAAACAATAATGTCAAATTATTTTAACTTCTGCCTTAAATGTTAACAATGAGAAAACAAATACTGTATCATGCAGCAAAACCATTCATAACAAATGTTTAAATTATAAAGTTAAATTGCTATACCAAGACTTCTCTGCTATAAAATGTGTGATCTGAGTTGTATTTCTGTGGGCTGAGTGTATTCCTTAAATATTACGTGCACTCCTTGTGACTCAAAGTTACAAGTATTTTTAGGCCCAAAGGAAGGCAACACTAAATAAAAGTCAAAAGAAAAAAATGTGTCATCGAATTATTTTACCATAAAAAATGATTTGGCTTGGGCAGTTAAGACATTTTTCATTCCTAAACTTAGAGAGGTTTACTTACAAGAGATCTTCTACTTCATTTCCTCCACCCCACACCCCAGCCATGGTCAGAAATAAAAGTCACCATAAACCAGTCAGTAAACAAGTGGCAAGAATGGCACACAACTGCATGTTTTCTCTAAAGAAAAATATATCACTTTTACAGAGTGTGTTCCCTCCTCTGCCCCAATAGTGATCTTAACCTTAACCAGCAAATACGTGAGTACTGAAGTCCTCTGGAGTTATTACTCTTGTCTATCATATTACATGGCTATAGGATACTAAATAAGGAAAAAAACTGCCTTGTAAGAGACACAGCTGACAGATATACTTGAAACAACAAAAAAGATAACTATCAGTTTCAATTGCTTCCTACAGCAACCCAGAATGCCCTTCTCAAATTACAGTGTATTCCCCTTCCAGGAAGTATATCAAAAACAAAGATACACTTTGTCTGGGGTGAAAAAAAATTAAGCATATTTCTCACCCAATCCTACCCCCAAACCAACAGTTCTTGAAAATACATTCTTTAAGATGTTAAATATTTCTGAGCACTATTTTAATTCTATTTCTCAACCCATTTAAGTTGACGCAGCAGTGCCTTGACACAGAAGGGAAAAAAGTTTACATCCAAGATACACGGAATTTTTAAAAATCCTAACAGAAATATAAACTCTTTCAAAACAAACAAAAACAAACAAGGTAGGCATTCACAAAAAACAGCCACCTAATTTTCACCAAATTTAAAGTAGGAAAAGCTAATACTGTACAGTGTACACTTTCTCTATGTTTAAACTCATTATTTAAAATTTAAATCTTAGAAAAAAATTTTTTGCTATTTAATTTTGTATTTATCTGAGATGGATGTTCACTAAACTTACTGTGATAATCATTTGATGATGTGTATGAATCAAATCATTATGCTGTACACCTTAAACTTACAGTGCTGTACGTCAATTACATCTCAATAAAACTGGAAGAAAAAATAAGTAAAATAAAATTTAAATCTTCAGCCTAAATGCTGCTTTGATATTAAGTACTCCGATGATGTTTTTCCCTCCGGGTAACTTGCTATTACTATGGTGACAAACGCTGCTATCTGCTATCTACAGACGTCTGAGGGTTTTTCTTTTCTTCTACCTTTAAAACATCAACTGACAAATAATGCTTTCCTGTTTGTTTGTAACTGGTTCACACCTCCGAATTTTGAGAAAAATCACTCAACTTGGTAAACAAAGCTGAGAACTATTATTTTAAAATAACCTTAAAAAGACACACCAACACCCCTACCAATTCCAGACCCGTCTCAAAAAATTGGGATTTTTTTGAGAAATTTTACATATATATATATATATA